AACGAAACTGTCGCGCATTATTTCATTGACCTGCTTCAGGAGTGCCGAGAGGTGTCGCTTTGCAAGATACACCTTTTCTACCATGTGCTGTTCGACGTTATTCCGTTCGTCTGCGGTAGTGAACGTCTGAAGAAAGTCCATGTACTCTCCGATAGGAGTGAGGATGTGAGGAGCTTCACACTCGGCTTTTGCAATCATAAGCTTGAAGTTTGTTTCCTGATACGCTGTTTCGGGGTCGAAATTCCAGTTGAACTTCATCCCCACAGGCGATCCACTTTCGTCATAAATAGCGTTGCATACTATTAGTGAAAAATGGTTGCCACGATATGGGAGGCCAAAATAATCATTCACCTGTAAACAAAGAAAAGGAAAAAAGAACAAAACTACATCTAAAACTCAAGATGTGCTAATAAATTAATACCCCTTATCACTTGTGTTGTTTCTGTCGGGAAGGGGGAAAGTAATACTGATGTATAGATATATTTGGAAAACTACCCTTTTACAACGGGGACAGCACAATGCATCCTTATATACTACGGTACTTGCAAGTAAGGAATATAAACTCTCTGTAAAGTTATATTATTTTTAACACCTTATGAGCCAGATTTTTTTTCGAATTGGCTCGGAATGGAGACCCAACATGTTCGTCCTTCACTTAAACTTTACTCCCCAAATATCCCTAGTGTAAGAGATACTTTTCCAACCTTACTTTCTCTTTGAACAATGCGTAGTTTTACAAGGAGGATTTATTTTTAATATTTTCTAGCCATTTTGTTTTATTATCTCTACATTTCAACTGTTGAAAGAGGCTAAACCAAGACGAGTGATCATTGACCTATCGCTGATCACTGTATGTCCCATGCTAAACTCATGTTTTTTTTTTAATAACCTCACAATAGTTAGATGCCTAAACGACACCCGTCCATTGTAATCTAGGTTACTTATTAAAGATAATTTTGGGCTACCTCCCCGGGTCCATATCTTATAGAAAATGAAAGTAACGTATCATTTGAATATCAATAGTGCATCTCTTATCCCCCATGCCAAGGTAGCCTCTCACCTCTTGGCTGGCAGTCAGTTGAGATGCACCCAGGATTGCCTTATTCAACTTGAACGGATTTCAGACTTTTTTCATTAGACGCCTTTTTTACCTTTTTAAAAGGGTCCCAGAGCCATTCGGGGAACTCAAGAGTGCTTCTTTCCCGTTCCAGACTCGTGGTCGGTACAGTGCCCCAGCGATAGGCGTGTACCAGATAGCTCAGACAACACAGGTAGCCCGCCAGCATCGGGATACACTCCGTGTCAATCAGAGACCTCGTGACCTCGTCAACTTTCAATAAATCGACCTGAATGAATGAATAACTGGATATACATTTATGATGGAATATAGAAAAAAGAAAGAAAGCAAGCATGTAAGGAAGAAACATATAAAGAACGATGAGAGAAATTGGAAATCCAACTTTCAGTAATCTTCAGTTAAGGGAGACTAAATAGAATATATTGCCGCGTGTGTTTGGGTATTTCTTTAAAAAACGCTTAGTACTTTGAAGTACTTTTAAAACGAAATTATGGTATCATCACCATATTTTAAACAACAAGAAAGTTAATCTACTAATTACAGAGAAAGATAGAGAGAATCAAAACGTGAAATTTAAATTTAAACAAATTATTCTGACCATACTTTGGGCATCTGGCATCCGTTTCCTGAATTTTTCTGGGCTGTTAACTTTTAAGCGTGTGTGATATGAGGGTGTGCAAGAAATTGAGATTGGAAAAAAGAAGGGGGTTATCAAGTAAAAAAAATAGACGAATAACAGTGTAGATAAAATAGATGAGATAATGGTGTAGTTACATTTGTCCTTTCCTTCTGAAAATTCAGACCGATAGAAATATATAGCTTGAAAGCCCAAAAATGTCTGCGACGTGTTTGTTTATATGTTTGCCTGTGTGAGAGAAAAATAAGAGAGTGAGCAAAAAAAGAGAGATTCTGGAAACTGAGTTTCATATTAAAAAAATTATACTGACTCTGTTAAATTCCTCTGTCATCCATTCCCTGAACGTCTCTGAACTGTTGAGTGTGTGTAACCTCTCTGGCATTTCAAGGCAGACATCTTGATAGATTTGGAAACATGACGGCCAGTCGTAGAATTCTGGTCGAGGAGGGTAAACTCCACCAAATTTACCCAAAAAAGTTGGCAGGTACGCCGAGTAAGCACATGTTTGCTGTGTCGCCATTGCTTTTTTTTTTCTAAAATATAAAGCCATCGAATTTATTATGGCACGTTTCCATCTTGAAGAGCATCTTACGACATTTACGACATGTGATTTATGAAAGCATCAGAGCAACTCTTAGAACTTTTTAGAACTTATTAGAACTCTCACTCGACTGTTGAGCTGTTTGAAACTCCCAAGCTCAGAAAAGGAACATGCAGGCAATTGTCCTCACCATACCTTATTCACTGTGCCTCTATCTGTAAGCACCGCAGCCACAAAACCAAGATACTTTTGTGTAACTTTACTGCAATCGTCACGAGCGAGAAACTTGTGGGCGTTTCCCTTTCCTTGTGTTCTGCCAAGCAGATACGCATATACAAAGGCGAGACACCTTCGTAAGGACGAGACGTCCTTGCAGATCAGTGTATTTGTACTCTGCAAAAGCAGACGCCCACTCACAAAGGCGAGACACCTTTGATGAGAAGGTCCGCAACAGGATTTGGATCTTGTGAAAACCATTCCGTTGACCACAGCATTGACCACCCCCTCTCCCACCCCTATTACCAGGACTCTGCAACTGACTAAGGTCACTGACCGAAAAGCGCTTTCTGCACCAGTGCACCCCTCCAGGTACCGGGCTGTACTTCCCTCGGGCATTTTTTTTTTAGGTCAAACTCATACAGAGGTGAGACGCCTCTTATCACGCCATACTGAGGTGAGACGTCTAATACCACGCAAGCCACAGTATCCAATGTTCCCTTCATGCATGTCTTACTCTGTATATGGGGTGCGTCCTGTGGACAAGAGGCAGAACACTGGGAATTTACTTCTTACTAGCTGTTCTCCTCACCCGTACTCGTCCACTAATTCTGACAACGCTTCACCTGCTTTTATCTGAGAACAGTATCAATGCCCAGTTATTGGCTGGTGTCCATTCCATTTCAGAGTACCAGTATACCATCTGAATCGACGCAGACGGTTCCTGGCAGAGATCACTGGGCTTCTAGCAGAAAATCTGCCAAAATAACGACGACTGTGCGGACGTCTTCTGGCGGTAAACATGGTGTGCCCTATTCTTGTGATATGTTGCAGTCAAGTTCCAAAATGTCATGAAACCTTTTCTACGAGGCAGGCTTATAAACTTTCTCTCTTGTCTGGATGTGGTTTCCTTCGGTCGGGCTTACGCAGGTAGTTTTGCTCATGTACCTGTTTGGTTATGATGCTGTCTATCCCTCTGATTGGTTCTCATGGAAGTACTGAGCCTTCTGGCAATTCGGCGGCTTAAAACTCACTCCCATGTCAACCACGTGGTAAAAATATATCCCTCTTCGGCGCCGCATATTAAAAAAAATTGGTGTCGGAGTATTTCAATGAATATGCAACGTAGGTGTATATTTTACTATTTTACTCACATCCCCAATTTACACGATGATCGGTTCCCTAGTTTTTATGTAATAGGAAAATTAATACCAATTCGGGTACCTTTGTTGCAATGTACATAATTGAATTGCAGCAGGAGTGACACTTTTTTGGTAGAGAGCACAGCGGCTCTGCCAGTAAATTAAATGCAGCCTGGCCTTTTGAGTTCAAGACTCGAGTATTGCAATAGCAAAAACCTTAATGTTATCAGGTGCACAAGGTTGGTCACGCACTCTAGTTTCCCATGATCTTTTATGTATGTCAAACGATTGCTTACAAAATGACTTTTACATTATATTTGAGTAAATAAAAATTTATATTAATTGTTTGTAATACCCTCGTTGTTTTCAATTTCTTCCTTGAAATAAATTCATATTTAATGAAGTTGTTTTCCGTTACTGTTGTCTTTCTATGTAAAGCCATTGATGTTTATATATTTTTCAAACCAAAACACAAAAATACATTAAACGGGAATATATCACTGTGTACGTAAGGCTACATGTCTACTGTTACTGAGAATGTATCTTATTCACCTGGGCTCTGCTAAAAATTGAACTTTAATGAAGAATGCCACGCTTACTAATGGATTCTTGACAACGTATTCAACAGCTAGTTTCTCTGATCACTACTCTGATTGCTACAATATAAAGATCAACTATGTCCTTAAATTACATGTACTTTGGTCTGCAGCCAAATGGTGCAGCAATAAAATATCAACACTTTAGTTCAGATTCTGTTATTTGTGTGTTTTATATCATAAACGATTCCTTCACGGGTCCGTGTGTGCTATAATTCTTCAGCAACCAGACTGCAATAAGGATCGTGGCACGAAAACATCCGCATTTTTCCGTGAAATTAATTCATTTCGTTGTTGGCACGCTATACTGGAAACGTCGCCATGGACGACGTATGCCAAAGATGGAATGATAAGTACATGTACCGCAGTATACATTTACTCCCGTAAGGAACACCACCTCGTTGTGGTCGCGAAGCAGGATTGGTTGATCACTTTCTCAATTCCCCAGCAAAGAGGCCTATAGGTGGCATTAGTGAACAGCATGCCCCGCCACGTAGGGGGCCCTTTATCGTACACTTGCTACTGATCTGAATAATTATATGCAAGACTTAATAAGAAAATGTGAGTGGAATTTTGCAGTTGATTTCCAGAATCTGTAGAATCTGTATTTAAAAGAGCTTATACATTCAAAGGACATGTTGAAAACCCCAGTTAAACCACTAGAAGTGAGCAATATAACGGTGTTTGTTGTGATTGTTTCTTTTGCATATCTGGTGATTTTAAAAACATTTTGTTCCTGCAATGATACAACTGGACAATAAGTAAAAGTTGACACTTGTAAAAAATCCTTCATTTTATTAGGCATGACAAGCATTTTGAGCAACAATGTGCATATCCGCTTACAACTACAACAACAGTTATAATAATAATAATTATTATTATTTATTATTATTATTATTATTATTATTATTATATGCTTATAGACCATAAAATGTATGTTGCAGTGGAATTTAGGCACTTAGGCCTTGAAGCCGTGGCAATTTCCTGGCGTGGCAGCGAGAGACATTATTCGTGTGTTAGCTTTGAGGGCCTGATATACGGCAGCCGGGCTGTAACCTCCCCAGGAAGGCGGGTCGAGCGTATATTGACTAGGTGCCCAATATATATTCTTTATATATATTCATGTTCAACTTAAACCCAGTGGGTTGTAATTTTGCAATAAACTTATTATTATTATAATTATTATTATTACTTGCAGGGCACTATCTCCGCTACTTATTACAATGATAAAAATGATTATACTGCATAACTTTTCACCGCTAGCTTTCCGCTACTGCAGACTGCTGCGATATACATTTTTACTTCGGTATCTAGTCAAATATTTAACTAATGTAGCAGCAATACCGCATCGACAATTTTGTTGAATTGGTGATAAACATATGTTATAACCACTAGTCTACAAAAACATGCTAATTTTCAAGTGAAATTGTTTCGTTGTCGGGCTTAGGGGCTAGAAACCTCGCCAGGGACGCTTGCCAAAGATGAAATGATACCGCAGTACACGTCTACTCCCGTAAGGAATACCCTCTCGTTCAGAAACTCGTTGTGGTCGTGTAGCGTGATTGGAGTGTTGATCATTGGCGAAAAGCCTAGTGCGGGAAGCCCAAGCTACAAAAAATGTGAGAATAACCATTAAGAAGTGCATACACAGATATACAAGACCTAACTTCTGTTCAAGGCACATAATGAGTGTTGGGCCTTAATATGACATATTTTCCTGGGATTTTCAACGCTAAATCACCAAGGAAATCATACCCATATCAAAACCGTTCACAGAATTACGACTAATTATCCTGAATATTATGGTGTAATAAGTCAGCAAAACTGATTTTTATAAATTGATTTTAGTTTCATTTGCTTCAATTGGGATTCATTTCATTTATTTGTTATTATTTATTTGTTATTAATTTTTCCAGCTGTAGTGTCATATTTGTTTTTGGAAAACAAAAGCTAAACCCCAGTGAAGTACAAAGCTCCCATCGTCCAAAAACTTGAAAATATCGTGAATTACATCGTACAACGATGTTAAAAAGGGTTTTGCTCCATCACAACTGACACTGACACTTCCTTTCACCTCTTCCGAATGCTCTATATTCGCCACCTTAGAGATGCATTCACCTAGATGTTAAGACTTACCTGTCTCATAATTCTGCCATCACTGAAAGCTGGAAATACCTCTCTTTTCCACGGTATTCCCCTAAAATGGAAAGTATTTATTATTATTATTATTATTATTATTATTATTATTATTATATTGATCCTAAATGCTCTATCAACGAATGAGATATTAATTGCATTGCAAATTAAAACAGTACAGTAACTATTTTCAACCTTGTAACCAATCAAATATCCAACGATGGACTTTTCTAAGAAAGTCAGCTAATTTATCTGCTACTGATCGAGGCACAATATACAAAGCAAAACAGTGTGGTATACTTACATTTCATTGCATGCGCTCTGGAAAGCGACCCACCATGGATTGGAGTCGTCAGCTGGTGTCACGCCTTGAAATGTGTTTTTCTTGAAGTCAAACCAAACACATGTATATACATGTATATTAACTAAGAACGGTTATCATCAATCTATATCGAATTCAACCAATATAAAGGCTTTACTTTTGTCGTGCTAACGGCTTTCCTTTAAAATCTTGTTACACAAACTTCAGATTATCATTGGCGCCCATAACCATTAGACATTTATATAATGATATAGTCGGACTTTGCCTCTTGGTCTGATACTATCTAAAGTGTTTTCTTCGGCAAACAAGTGAAAAAAATTCTGATTGGTGCTGGGCAAGCAGATATGAAAGCTTTCTTTAAGAATAGTAACATGCCGCAAAACCATTACATTTACCAGTAAACGATATGCATTTAGTCGCTTATGCTATTAAAACAAAATTTCTAACTGCAATTTACCTGCAAGAATTCCACTTTAATACCATCGCCTGCGCTTTTGGCCCACTGATGTATCTTGTTTTCTAGCTCCAGCATATCTTGAGTAACAGTGACGCGAACGTCAAACACTAAAAAAACAGGCGAGTTCACACTTTGAATAGGCCCAACTCATGTAATATAACAGTGCACATAAGGCAAACCGCTTTTCATCGGACCAAGTGACCTCTATAGAGAGATAAAACGTTCATTGTGAAAAGCCCCAATAGTTTAAAACGCACTTTAATTATTTGGTACATTTTCAACAAGTATACGTTGCTATATAGAAAGCATTCTTTTTCTTGGGATGCTTTTACAGCTAGGTTCTGTTAAAAATAATATGTGGCTACCAGGGTGTCAATAAATTCCCAGTCAAATTCCATCAAAGCAGTAGTCATGGTGCTTATAAACATTTATTTAGAAGAAAGTAAAGGATATGCATGACGCTAATAAAGGTTTGACTACATGGATTTAAAAACGAAAGTGCGCGTGCTTACCCGACGACATTTCTGCCGGAACCATATTAGGTTGTACGCCTCCCTATAACAAATGCAAACTGAGCTTGTAATTTGAAACAAGAGAAGTTATCGATTTTCAAATATTATAGAAACATATCCAAACTTTTTTCTATTTAGTGGTTGTAATTGGACCTTCTCTATGGCCCTTGCCTTTTTTTTTACTTCCAAAACATTTTAATAAAATAAAATTTTAATAACAACAACTATAGCAGTCAACGTAATATTTATCTTCAATTATTGCACTGCAATCAGTCACGTGTATTACGTATATATATATATGGATCAAAATACTACAATTCGGTGTCGGGGCAGGTTATCTTAAAACATTGCTGATAATCTTATCAAGTGAGCATATCATGAGTGTGGTGTTATCGAAAGTATATAAATAAACCTTTGAACACTATTCATAACAAGAGCTTATTGAACTGTAGGCGCTGGCCCGCGCCAAGTAAAGGTAAGACGACTTTCTCTACATACGTTTTGAGAAAAATTAATAACTATTAATATAGTAATATATTTATATTTCAAAGTATACATCCTCGATTGATATTGGGTACGTTGATCGTACAGTTCGTTCAATTAAGTCTAATGTTTGTATTTAGTATTAAGATGGAGAGACCTTATGTTTTTAAAAGGCACAACTTACAGACGGGACGGATTATTCACCCGAGGCTCTTAGAGTTGGTTCAGACATTCTGTGATAGGAGTAGCCAATAGTAAACTTTATCAGAAATGGTCTTCAACCGCGAGGTAAATTGTGTCTGAGTTAAATTTTGAAATATCCTTTCACTTTCCATCGGGATTTTCCTGCATGGACCTTCCAACCGATTCACATGCAGACTAATAAACCGTCATGCCCCGTGCCTGGACGCACGCCACGTTATTTACCTATGTAAATGTCCTCGAATAATGTCGAATCATGTTTGACTAGGATATCCTCCCATACAATTATATTTAAAAAACAGCAAGAAAAAATCCACTTTCGTTTAAGAAACTCCAGATTTACGTTACAGATTACGAAAGACAATGGGCACAATAGAAACGTTAATTAAAAGAGAAATGCTTGCCAAGATTTATGGTTTTCGCGGTCTGTACATGTATGAACCTACCTCAATCATTGTGCAATTCACTGATGTGACGTCCCCAAGAACCATGGTACTGTCATTCTTCAAGCTGTAACGTGTATATACACATTAATTCTTCTGTTACAACAGCATCGACTATATACGAGTAATCTTAATTAAAGTTAATAAACTTTTTAGACAGTGTATATTTAACCCAAAGTCGTATTTAGTGAAGTGCTTAGACTGCACATGAAGGTAATTTGTAACGAAACTGGTCAAATACATGGTCTTACGTAGCTTCCTGTTCAGCCCTGAATTCTAAGAAGGCGTCAGTGATTTTTCTCTGAAAGGAAATTTATTGAATTAAGGGTGCGTCTTAGTGAAGGACGGTCACGAGCCTACATCAGCTCTCTCCCGAAGCAGTTAATGCATGTACCCCTTGATCTGATTGGAATGGATAAAAACTACAGCAAGCCTCGAGTACATGCATAACGCTTTAAATGCAACCGGTTTTTTCCCCGTTACATATGCTTTAGTTAAGTTTGCTATACATTTACCAGACGCGTACCTTACTTTGTCAGACAGGGCCGTAGCGTTCAGGTTCAGTAAGTTATGCGCAAGTTTCTGGTTTATGCAAGGCAGTTAGACTGTATACTGTCTATTAACATGTAACTGTATAGGTAGCAGCGAAAGCCACTATCGTTTTAACTAAAATCATATTGATCACAAGTAACTTAGGCCATAGGGAAGCGTGCTAGATTTAATAATGTTTCTGTTTTTGGTAAAAATCGAAATACTTAAAAGCCTTCAAATTAGATTTTAAAAGTTAAAGGCGTCGTGATTCTCGTTACATGTACATGTAAGAGCACGAGCATCAGAGCTAGCTACATTAACGTGTGTGCGCGTACAAGTGCCTGCACGAGCCATAGGGTGCTTTCCCAGAGATTTAGATCGATATAAAGATTAAGATTTAGATCGACCTAACTCCCTGGGGGTTCACGCTAAATTGCAGTCAGCCGAGTGGGCACCATAGTTAATTACCCCCTTACAGCTTTTAGTAGGCGGGACAGACGCTTAAGCCGGCCAAGCTGACAGTAATCTAGTGAGACCCCCCACAGGGATAGATCGATCTAAAAATCTATGGAAATGGGGTGTTAGAAGTTATAATGTAACTAGCATTTCAATTTAGTTTTTTACTTTTATCTTTTTAAATAATTTTTGTTTATCTCTTATATGATAGGGTTGCATATCGAGCGGTTGTATCCGAAGAACATGCAAGTGCTTCAAGTTAAAAATCGAGTAAACAATTCACAAAATCTATTATTTGTTTATTACTTCCGCCCGGAAGATTGTTTTTTGCTTTTGTTGGTGTGTTAATTAACAGCTTAACGCAAAAATTTCGGAACGAATGTTCATAAAATTCAAAGAATATTTCAAAATGGAATTAGAACCTGTCAGATACTGGACGTTCTGTATCAAGAAATCAATAAAAAATATCAGAGTCATTTTACCCTTGGCCAAGGGGGTAGGGGGCAGGGGTGTGCTAACACTTGCCAAAGGTGTCCGCCCAGGCTAGTGAATGGAACGGTGCGCCTTAATGCCCCTTAATAGTGTTATAATCATAATTATATGTATTATAGGTGAACGTCTGCAAATACATGTGCATCACTGAATATACCCACTGCAGATAACTGCTGTTTTCGTCGAGTTAATTGATGAGTAGCTGATAAAGCATTTGTCCTCGAACTCTTCTTACTTTGTAGATATGAAATTCAATCATCCAGAATACCTACATGTACCATGGACATGGATATACGTGTATTTATATTTGTTTTAAAACCAGGTTCCAAGAAATTAAAGCTAAGCCAAAGTTTTAAACAGTTATGTGTATATTCTTTTGCGTAAAACACCTAATCACAACTTAATTGTCTCATGCTGAATTTCCCTTTAAAATTTAGAGCAATGAACCATTAAATGGGGATTAATTTAAAAATAATTAGATAAACCGTATGAAAGACGTGGTTTTTTCTTAAGGTCATTTTAAAGTTGTATCGTAATCTATCCATAAAGCATTAGTAGACAAAGTAGACAAAGATTAAGTGTTATATTTACTGCTAAAAACATTGATGCACAGAACTCAAATCCTGGATTGTACCGATCAAGATACATTGACTTGACAAAACCTTGTTTTTGGTTGTTCTTATAGCCAATCCAGTGTACCAACAATTGCGTAAACGTATTTCTCTCCACAATACATCAACGGAACCCTAAAATAACAGTTTACAATGTTCATACCTTGAACACACTCAAATGAAATTTCATTACCTGCCATCATGATACACTGGCAAGATAATTCCTGTTTTATAATATTCGTCCGTGGGTTTATGTTCGGAGAGTTGGAATGCCCCATTACTATACAAATGGAAGTATAAATGTGTACTACGTAGTTAAAAAACCAAACATCTAATTACTTAAGTTATTCAAATAATTGTACTGATTTTACCAACGATGAACCAATTAAGACACCTACCAGTTTTTCAATGGCAGTATTTTGGACTAAATATGCACCGAGACCAGCATTTCCAGTGCATGTCACTTTAATCCCTAAAACATAAATATGAAAAACTGTAAGTCTCTGCATGGACTGTTATTTGATATACATGGCAATTCCCCATATGAGGTGATATTTCTCACTGAAGAAATAACAATAAGAAGTGTCGTTATGAGAACCAGTATAATTAAATGACGTAATGAAGAAATGGAGCAATGCATTTCTTGTGATGAATTCAATGATTGTCACGCAGAAGTTATCAATATACTTTTCCTCCATTATTTTCTACCTTAAAGAAATTTCACTATTGCGCTGTCTTTACTGGGGTACACTGGAACATTTTGTTTTTCATTTCAGAAAACGCCAAAGCGTTGCAAGCAGCATATCTCCCTAAAGTTGGCAACACCTAAGTCTGAAGATGGCCGCCTTTGATATGCTCCACTTCAGCATTGTGTGCCTAATGAATCTGATCGTGCTCATAACTGCCCTGAACCTAGGGTGGTGGTTCAACAAGGGGAGGTTTGACGTAACGCAGTCACAAATCCCATCCATCGTGATCATGGCCATAGGTTCGATGTGTATATTAGCTGTAACCTGTGTAAGCACATGGAAAGACGATACGGAGAGCCAACGTCGCCACGGGCATGACTCATTGGGTAGAATGCTGAACCACTATCTTCCTCTACTTGGTGTTGTGATATTTGGACTCGGCAGTTGCCTATATTCTGGTTTAGATGTCGTGGAGCAATATATTTGTCTACGCGCCTACCAGGCGTTCAATACTGATGGCGTCTTTGATAGCCTAGTCACTCAGCGTTATGTTCTAACTGCCTTCCACGGAGCGCACTGTATTTTTGTTCTCATACAAATTGCGTTTTTGGTGTTGACGTTTAAAGTGGACAATTATGCAATGAACAACGCAACTTGCAAGGTTCTTATATGGTTTGGAATTGTCTTTACAATACCTGGCAACATTGGAGTCTTGTTTTATACTTTTATATCGGGATCTGTACAGCATGGCTTCGTACCGCCACATGTGCCAGATAACAAAACTTTGGGCAATGCCACAAGACTCTGTTTACAGGAACAGAGCCCTCTGGAAGATACAGTCCATGAAACATTACGTCCTGTTTGCCACCCAATGATAATCCAATATTGTCTAATCGTGACGAGACTGTTACTTCAGGAGTTAAGAAAATTGACCCAAAGGAACGTGCCGCCAATGGATACAAGTATGGAATCTCAATCAGATTCGGAATCTTTTGGACAAGAGACAAACGTTGTACCTGATGTCGATTTGAACAATGTTAACCAAATAAATGGGACAACACATCTAAAGCATCTCACAGACAACTTTCCTCTGCCATCTTCTCAGCCAGGATCAGGAACGTCCGTTCAAAGACAAGACCTAGATGAAAACGTCCTTGGTGGAAATACAATTGGCGCTCCTTCGATGGATACCGAAACTCACCTTAGTCGCAGGGCAGGCTTTATAATGAGGCCTGTATCTCAACCAGAGCCGGGCGTGTCTGACATGAGGAACGGCGTAAGTGACCCCCTCATTAATGACGACCCACAAACAAATCAAGCAGTTGCTTCAGGACGCGGATCCAAACTTTACAATTTGTTATTCAACCGCGTTATAGCAATATTCCTCGTTCTGGTACAAATAGTTGCCTACATATCTGTCATCGTTCTAAAGACAACCCAGGTTTCTGAAACACAGAAAATCAACTACGACATTATTCTTATCTCATGTTTACTGGCTTTTTCGGTATACGCTCTTTGTGCTACCTGCGTCGGTTGCTACTCCGCTATTTTCAAACGACAGATAGATGCCGATAACTGTGTCTGTGAATTTTCATTTGCTGATGTTTTCCTTTTGGTTATGTCGTCTACTGGAAGCTTGATATTCAACTTCTCTGTTCTTATATGTGACGTTACAATATTCGAACAACCTACGTCTCATGAAGTTTTTGTTCACACCGTTATTTCATTCATATACCGCATTTTGATGGCCGGCCAAATATCAGCTCAGGCATACTTCATCAACTCTGGACAAAGATTTGGTGTGTATTGTGGGACAGACCTTTCCATTATGACAACCACTTTGAACTACCTAATTGTAGCAAACATAGGCTGGTGGGGGATAAATGCCTTTATAGGACCCTGGTATTTTAAAAAAGTGGAATTTTTAAATAGCTGCTTCGGTTCAACCATATGGCCAACTATGTTGAGGTTCCTGACGCCTTTGCTCGCGTTTTTACGGTTTCAGTCGTTCACTATGCTGTTAAGGTATCGCTACGAGGGGATCGTAATGGCGGGTGAGCAATAGCGGTCACGTGCAGATTGAAAAAGCTGTAATGCACATGTTTGTGCATTGGTGTAATGTATTTAGTATAACTTTGTGTAATGTATATCAGACACCTTGAAAACGGGTAGTGTGGTCTGATATACCGGTTTATTCTGGATCCGTAGGTGCTGAGTCTGGTAGTTGGTTAGGCCTGTATATGGTATAACTTAGGGTGACTACTTATACTGCGTATTCCACATTCCTTGGCTTTGATACCAGCATTTGATCAGTTCGCTCTCTCTATCTGTGCGTGTGTGTGTGTATGTGTGTAAGTGCGGGTGTGTGTGGTTGAGTATGCGTGTGTGTGAATGCATGCCTGACCTTTAAGAAAATTTCTGCTTTTCCGAAAATTGCTACTTTCCCAAATACTGATTTATGGATTGCATTGCCAATGTAAGTTTGTTAAAAGATAAAGCATATTCTTTGTACAAATTCATAATTATAATAATAATAAAGATAATTGATAATAATAATAATATCTTACACCATGGAGACCTCTCTGCATTGTAGACTCTGTATACGCCATCTTCACTTGCTAAGCCTATAAATGTAGAAGGCCTTCTGTTAACAATCTACAAATTATCATCAAAGAATTAGGATGCTATTTTAAATAACAAGTTTTATTTCTTGTTTTCATATTTCAGCAAACATACGCTTTTCATAATATGCTTTCACATTCCGAGCCCGCGTATTATGAATTATGAGTATTTTGATGCAATTGACATATATAACGGTTCTTACTCTACAGTATCTTATACTTATACGCAGCATTTGCTTAATAAACACACGAGGTGCTTATACCCATAGATTATATCTGTACTACGTGATAAAATTAGTAATGGGGGGTTTAACACTGTCTAGCATGAAACTCACCTTCGTCCATTGCAAATGCTATGTTAAGATTTCTGAAGTCTTCGTGCTTAACGAACAACTTCATACCCTCCTCACTACCCACTTGTTCATCTGTAATACGAAATATATCTAAAACGTCAGTATGGCCTTATAATATGTCTATTATCTCATTATTTCGGTACTAATAAAATCTACAATAATTGAGTTTTTTCCACAGTGTCAATATGCACATAAACTCTATCTGCGTATCACTTCCGTGTACAGAAAGGTTGTATACGTAAACAGTTATGTATGGACACCAGTGACTTTAAGGCGATCATTTCTGAATAAATTTTTTGTTTCGAAATTGTTTTGTCTTAAGGAGTTTCCCTTTACCTGGCACAAAAGTAACATGCACTGTTCTTACTGGGACTACTCCGTTTTGTCTTAGCTTTCTTATGGCCTCCAGATACCTGAAATTTGAACATTCTTATTAGTTGAACGTGCCCTAGGCCGCATTCAGAACAGTGGACTAACTAGTCCCAGGGTCAAATATGGCCGTCCCACTTGAATATTTGCCCACGGGGAATCTATTCAGTGTCTGTTAGCGGAATAGACGGCAAGCTTTTTAGTGGGTGGCCATATTTGACCCGCGGACTACTTAGTCCACTGTTCTGTAAGCGGCCCTACACATAAGTTGGTCTGAAACAGTGCTTGTGACACGTCACTGGCACAAGTATGCTTATGTAAAGCAGTCCTGGTTTCTGTGCAAATGCAAAAATATGTTTATACACTTATATGATAGCGGTGTTGCTATCTGTTTACATAACATGCAGTGCTAGTGATATTTAATCTATACTATGAAATTTTTAGCGCAACATTCTTACTGCTACACACACACACACACATATATAACCGTCTAGCAATGAGGGGAACTTCCTAAGAGTCGTCGTGATTTTTTCTTAATATTTCTTAACAGAAAAGTGATAAGAATCGTGCGTTTGACTTACTGTATTCCAACACATTTCATATCCTGAAATACAAAGATAACATCAGAATGCCACATGAAAAATTTAAACATTTCAATTGAACAATGCTTTGGCCTTGTGCATGCAATAAAACTAAAAATTCAGGCAGCCGACCCGCACACTAGGCTTTCCAAATTACAACAGCAAGTATACATGTGTATGTAATTAAGTAGTTTTACTACTCAGCACAATAGCCAAAGAAGTAAACAGAAAAATACACCGAGCATATTTTATTGTCATCTAAGTAGTCCTACGCAATGAAATATATATTCCCTAGCTACTGGGCATCAGCACCCATGGCACCGTGCCATGATAAACTCATTTCATCAAAAACATCGCCCAGTCGCCGTTCCGTGATCTGTCACATGCAACTTAACACCGGTGCCCGGTTTTAAAAACTTCTTTATATATGTATATTTAAACTCACAAGGACGCTGCTTTACATGGTAAGATCGAACGCTTAACAAAAATTTAATAAGTAGCATACATGTAATCCTTACCTGTGCTCCTCTACCATAGATATTGCCATCCGCGTCCTTTTCTCCACCAAAAGGATCGAAAGTCCAATATTCCTGCAAAAGTAACAAATAAAATGTATTTTTCCATTTCCCCTTGTATTTTTTTTCGGAATTTACAAAAAAATGTCGTCCACTCTCTTGAGTTAAGAGGGAATGCAAATAAAAAAATCTGATAAACCGTATGGCTAGTCTACATGTATTTGAATTCCAATTCCTTAATTTTGACCGCTTTTATCTTAATTCAACAGTTAAGATATCCAATTTGTTTCAGAGACGTTGGGGGGGGGCAGTGCGTGTTGATACATTCTATCTGTATATCCATGATGTAAAAATATTCATAACAGTAAAAGTCTGAGGTTAGAGACGTATTTTTCATTTATTCGACACCAACCATATTTAGACTGGATTTAACTAGAACCACATCGGAGCGGCAATGAAATGTAAGTAGATAAGTATCTTATAGTTATTTCGCGTTCCACGTTTTCCAAGACATACACGCTCCATTTTAATTGTCCTAACCTTGGCGCGTTCTGAAGTTGAAATAGTCGGTACAAAATAATAGAAAGTACATGCATGTTCTTTGGCAATAACGGCAGGTGTGGTATAAAACCTTTATAACTTTACATTAAATGATCTTCTTCCTGTCTATCATACACCAGTAGTGGTTTCTTTAGACGTATATGGACAGATACAGATACAGAAATGATACCTACCGCAAAGGCTGGGGAGACGTCAGAGTGGGAATTCAGGAGAACGGTACCCAGTTTTGGATTGGCTCCCTCCCAAGTCATAGTAATAACAGGCTTCCCCTGGGCAACCTATAAGACAAAGAGAAGGTAGATGCACAAAGACGCATGCATCTATTTAATCAATATAATATTTGGGTTCATGAATATTACACACGGATTGCTCAACCGGAGTCTATGTAATTGCCTACCTAAGCCATACCAGAGGTAGCATCACGCATTTGGCGCAACTTCAAGGGTGCCAATCGGGCCAATGAGAGGTTCTTTTTTTTTTTTTTTTTTTTACTTTCAAGCGTATCAAATGTTAATTTTTGGTTTATCAGAAGAAATTGATCGATATTTTTGAGCTGCTGTTACAATTTTATTTGAAAATTGATGAACACTAAAAAGAAGCATGCTCAGTGTGTGGTTATACATATAATAACTATTCTATATTTTTAAAATATCGTCTCGAGCCCTAGATAAGTGGTCCTGCATTAGCGATAGGCCCTATAAAATTAAACTTAAAGCCGGTCTGACAGGAATGGTAGTCCTTTGAATGTATGTCCGGGGTCCGATGTGACTAATACAGGTTAGTAGTCGGAGTATTGGGGTTATTATGAGGGACGAATGTCATCGGACTGTCATTCCTGTAGCACCGGACGGCGACCTAATACTATCCGGGGTTAAGCCCCCGTTACACTGGATGGCGTCCTTTCTGCGTCCCGTAGCACGGCCCCGTTTGAGAGTATTAAAAACATAATTTTGCAACCAAAGTGATGCTTGGGCCTCCTTCCTTTGACCACAGCGATGCCAGTTTCATGGTCGCACAAAGGACGCAGAAAGGACGCTGGCCTTTAAAAAGGGGTTTCAGTGACCTTGGTTAAGTATAGGCCCCCACCTAATTAAACCAATGACCTAGACAGGAATGTATAGTCAAGCACTACATGTGGGCTGAGACAGACGGCTGTGACGGAACGTGTTAATGGGCCACAGTATAGTTCAAGGGCAAATAAAAGTTACATCTACCTCTGTTATTCGGCATGGCAGCCCCAACTCTTCGGCATAAGCGACGAGGAACCTCACAGCTGATTCTGACAAAAATAAGCAATTTAAAGCATTGAGAAATGTTCAAGAGGGTGAATTCCGTGCATGTAGCCCTACGTTGAGGTGGCCTTAATCCCCCTTTTCTGTCTTTTGCATTGAAGCCTTAATAAGCATTCAGTTATGTTTTTTTATGTAACTAATAAAAACACTAGCCAATTCCATGACCATCACCTACCATAATCAGGGTTTGGTTGGACAGTTTTTATCCTCAGGTATTCCCTAAACTTGGTAACCGCCAGCTCCTCCTTCGCCATCACGCTTATACTGGTACCGTACGACTACAGGGGTAACAGATGGAATGAGTAGCACAGTTTGCACCCTATACTTTTATCAGAGACGAGCTTTTCACCCAAACCCAATATACCTGTACGAGAACTCTCTACCAGGCCCGCGGAAAATACGTTTACTCTTCTCTATCGCGACCCTGGGATTTTTGGCCAGATCAGTTAAATCCGCACGCTTGCAGACGGCATTGTACCCGCTCTGCATAGCTGAACTTCGCCCCGATGCGATAAACGCTTGTTACGTAACCTAACTAGGCTCCGCTGTCTGCTGCAACAAGTCATGGTTAGCAACCGTTCCGCGTGGGGGCTAAATCTGCCATGTTGTTATAGTTTACATTGCAGACGTGAGTAAAGTCCTCCGCAAATAAGGTGTTTTTCTATTACTCCAAGAGCCTCTATGCGGTTTGAATATAAGGGAGACACTTCAATGGTGATGATTTAACATGTTCTCTGCTCCACGTGTTACATGATCTGCACTGATTACGGTTGCTAGGGGCTGATGCTCCCAAGTTCCGTTTCAGCTATTTTTTGCATGTGGGTGTCACGTGGGCTATCTGACTGAAAGAGTAGGACTGGGTTCCCATACCTAGATCGATCGAACAGGATCGACCCATCTCCAAGGGGTTTCGCTTAATTGCTTACAGCTCTTGAAAGCGGCTTAGATGTTTGGCACGCCTACTGAAGCTGCTAAACGATAATCACTTATCCCCTAGCAGCTTGAGTAGGCGTGACAGACATGTACATTAAAGCCGCTTAAGTTGATAGCAATTTGAAAGAGAACCCCCTCTAAGATAGATCGATCCACAGTTAGTACGATAGGGCCTGGGAATGGTCCCTAAGACGTTTTAAGGATATTGTCACACTTTGCCCAAAACTCCTGATATAGGCCTATTTACTGCCTTACATTCTTTAGAGTAATAACTAAATCCTCAGTGTTCATGCAGCAACTAAATTATTTATGACTTAACGTATGTTATCTTACAGGTGACGTCATAATTGCAATTTTGGGGTAAAAACTAAAAAAATCGGTTTCTCAGAGTTCTCTTTTACCTGAGCACCCACGATCACCGTTTCAACGTTGATTTAATGACAACATTTAGTAGGGCCTACTCCAAAACCCTGCCAGCGATCTTTCTTTAAAGTCTTTGTTCAGATTTTATCGCTGATAAAGCAAAATAATGCCTTTGTTTAATGAAAATCTGTACTTAGGGGCCCATAACTCTGTAACAAAAACATTTAAACCAAATTAACTGACGGCACGGAATCTAGTTCTAAACCGTACCAAATGCCATCGTTCGCCCTCTAAAATACCAACATTTTTCGGGGCCCTTCAGATATGTACCTAAAGAATACAGCTAGAGAATCAGATTATCGTTACTAATAATTATAACTTGGTGAATCTCAAATAGGCCCTACTGGTAGGCTTATATCGTTAATGGCTTGTGCTTTTCTTTTTCGTATTCGACAAGCTGGTTAAAAAAAAAGATAAGTACGGCTAAAAATGCGCAGTTTGACCCGAAAGATGCAGACAGTGTGCAGACTAGATTATGTTATGCCAAAGAGATACGGAATGATTTACAGTACCAGGATTATCTATGTGGCTTGTCTTTGCCCGCGCCACCTACAGGTATGAAATAAAACTACAGACATTTTGTTGAAAACCCAGCTGGAGCAGTGAAAGTGGTCAAAGCTGTGTCTTCTGTACTAGTATCTAAAAACAGGCTAAGATGAAGATGTGAAGTTTAAAAGAAAGAAGCCGGTAAGAACTCTCTCTCTCTCTCTCTCTCTCTCTCTCACACACACACACACACACACACATGCACACATTCGACACATCTAGTATTACTAACAACCTAGTCATAACGTCAGCTGTAGTGCTACCTGTATCATGCTCTGTAACTGCACATACAACGATAAGCAGACAGGTCATGGTTTTCAATCCAATAGCTGTTTTTTTTTTTTTTTTACTTGGCAATGGTCTCCTTGCACATTGCCTGCTACATATACGGTACATGCAGTGTTAGACGCTAGCCTTGTTTTTGTGTGATAAATTAGCTGGTAAAAAAATGCTGCTGAAAGTTTCAGGTGAGCATCATTTCTGTGCAGTGTGATTTGGTTTATTTGTCTCCCAATGATATATTAATAACGTATATCTTGCTGTTACTTGTATAATGAAATGCATTTATTTACATAATTTTCTGTTAACCTTCAGAGGCTGGGAATCTGCTGATATGTGAAACAGGATAGCATACAGATGTTATAAACACAACAAAAAGAAGATGCCTCCACTCCTGCCAAGAGAGCGCCAGATTTGTACTGACAGCCATGCTAAGGTATAGTTGGGTCAAAACACGGTAATGGGTCAAAAATCTTTAAAATTGTCTGTAAAATGTCCCGTCAGAGACATTTCAAATACCATGTTTGACCCATTACTAGTAGGCCCAGTAGGGGCTCATGTAGAATGGTGATGTACAATGTTAACAGATTGATACACAGGGGCGGATTTAGGCTGTCTTTTGGGTCTTCTGGAAGACGGTCAGATTTTCAAGTTTACATTGACGGGTGTCTAATTTTTTCTGTCGGAACACGGTCAAAAATGGAGGATGAATCAACAAAGATAATTTGGAAGACTGTCAGAAAATTTCTCTGGATCCGCCCCTGATACATTATATGTTATGGCCATAGTTTGAAAAGTTTTAAATCAGTGTGGTTTATTTGTATTAAACCTCTGATTATACAGGCAATATTAACTACCATGAACATGCTGAGAAAGGCCTCCTCGTTGTGTGATGTGATGTTGAAGGTGGAGGAAGAATACTTTCCAGCACACAGAATTGTACTGGCAGCCTGCAGTGACTACTTCTATGCCATGTTCACCAGTGAGGTAGGTGAAAATGTATTGCACAGTTTTAATGCACTGACTAGAATTAACCTTCACTTAGTGGAACATTGTTTTCCAAGTTTTAGCATATTTTTATTTTGCTTAATCTTTGGAATCCTGAGTAAAAGGTTGGGAAAATTGTCTGAAAGTTGTACATGACTTAATAGTCCTTTCGTTAAGTTGAATTATTTTCAGTCGTTCAGGGATATTTATGCTACATAAAACCCTAAAAATAAGATGCGTGTTGTTATAGTATTTGTTGTGTAATAACTGTCAGATGTTGTGTTGTTAATAGTATTTGTTGTATTATAACATCTTTCAGATGTCTGAAAAAGACAAGAACACAATTGAGCTAGGTGGGATTTCGGCCACTGTCATGGATGTCCTGTTAGATTTTGTCTACACGGAAACAGTCAATGTCACTGTGGAAAATGTCCAGGATCTTTTACCTGCTGCTTGTCTGTTACAACTCACTGGTGAGTATTTATGTATCAAAAACATAATATTCAGTGGAAAATATCAGGATATCTTGTGTGTTGTTTGTCTTTTACAGCTACTGGTGATTATAAGGGCAGTACATGTAGTGTTTTATTTAACATTGGGAAATCTTGTGCATCACTTGCCTGGTGATTTCTATTACAACTTGCTGGTGAGTTCATGTATCAGTAACTTTTTTATTTTCCATAAATGTGGATGCCCAGGACATGTTTGCTGCTAATTATCTACTCTACAACTGGTAATTTTAGTTGAGTGAATGTTTTGTGTTCATGTATTAAAGTCTTGTTAGCATTTATTTGAGCATGCATTTTGTGAAGGGTTTCCTTAATTGTTCATTTTGATAATGCGTAACTAGTAATAAGCACAAACAAGGAAAGGAAACAAAAAAATCAAACTGAATAATTTTTTTTACACTTTAACAGATAAAAATGAAGTTCTTGCACTTTTATCTTATGGTATTTTCCAGGAGTAAAACAGGCATGTTCCGACTTCCTAGAAAAGCAACTGGACCCTTCCAACTGCCTTGGTATAAGGACGTTCGCTGAGAACCATTCTTGTAAGAATCTCCAGGAAGCAGCAGAGAGTTTCCTGTTTAAGCATTTTGAAGATGTCATAGGGCAGGAAGAGTTTCTGGGACTTGAGGTGGAGGATGTAGAAAAACTCATTGGTAGTGATGAAATTCAGGTAGGATTGAGGAATAAGCAAAAGGAATACTCTAGTCTACTTAAAATGTGACTTTTTTATCACTTAATGGATGACTAAGTGCATCTACACCAATATTTGCCAGTGCATGTGAAATAAATGATAACAAATGTTTTGAGTCATGTCATTTGAATGACAATAGTGGATAACGAAAATTAACTAAATCAAATATAACCTTTGTTGTAAATGCAGGATATACATATATATTTATGATCATAGGAATTATATTTTGCTAAAATTTAAACTTGCAACCAAAAGTACAAGTTTGATTTGATTTGATTTGATATCAGATAGTCGGCTAGTGCTGCATGACGTTCACTAACTGTTACAAATATTAACTAATATTATTATGATCTTAGTAAAACCTTTATTTGTCAGTATTGTACTTAGCTAAACTGGGGCTGTCTGAATTTATATGTTGCTTTCTAAATTTTCATGTAAAGACATTGTGTCCTCACAATATTAAAGCAAAACCTTGCATGGCCATTTCTCTGACACACTATTTTTCAAAAATCAGTTACTAGTAGACGATACTGTCCATCAGCTTTCAGCATACTCTGTATATTTTTATTTTTTATTCATTTATTGATATCCTGTTGTCAATGTAAAGGTGAGCTCAGAGGAGCCAGTGTTTGAAGCAGTGCTGAACTGGGTGAAGCTGGATTTGGAGAAAAGAACAGAAGATCTTCCAAAATTACTCCAGCTGGTGAGACTACCGTTACTCAGTGTTAGATACATCACAGATGTAGTGGACAACCAGGTAATATACTGGAGTCTGTTGTCATTATTCTAATAACGATCATTTATTTATTTATTTATTTATAGCAAGAAGCTGATTTTTTCAAGTTATTGATAATGTTGAAGTTAAAGTAAATAAAAAACTTGTGCTTGTTCAATTTTTTTTTTTTATATACACAGTTTTACATTACATTCAAACCACGTGACCAACAAACATATCACAACTTCACCCCGCATGGAGTCCACACTCCCTCCAACATGGAAAACTACTCACTTCCCTCATTTTTTACCACTAGAGGGACCCACTGCATAGTCACCTCTAACACAATTTAACACAATTGGTCACAACCATACAATATTTGACAGATAAATTGGCAGTTTTTTTTTTTTTTTTTTTGCTTTTATTTGATTTAGCTAATTTTTGTTATATTGAGTATAGAGAGCATTATGTAAGCATGAACTTTAAGTAGACACATTATAGTAGCATGCAGAATATTGTTTACTCACTGTGTCAAGAGCACAACACCTATGCACTTGTTTTAATTACTTCACAATACAGTAAATTTTATTTCATGTCGGGTATAAATTGAAAGGAAACATTAGCTTTGCAGGTATTCTTAGAAATACACAGCATCACATATTTAACTCGAATTCATTTCTAATGGTGAAAATGTGAGACCCTGGTAACTGTTAGGGGAGTACATGTATCATGTTAACATGCATGCAGTTATTTGCCAGTCTCACTAAATATAAATTTTGACTGTGACATTTATAGATGTAATTTCAAAAAGGCTAGGGTCTTATTTTGAAAAGGAGGACATTTAATCACCATTTTTTATTCAGAAAGTACCCTCTCCTTGCCAAAAGGGTTTTTTACATGTAAACTCCCATGAACCTTACAGCCCTTAGCAAAATATCAAGCCTGCTGCAAATCTGCAGCAAATTTGCTGCAATACTGCTGCATATTGAAATTCTTTCTTGCAAATTTGCTGCAATGTTGCTGAAAACTTTTCATTTTGCTAAGGGAGACCTGATGATGATCATAAACATTTCCCATGTCTTGATCAAAGTCAGAACCTTTGAACCTCCCTGACTGCATCCCTGACAGTGAGATGCATTTTAACAAATGTCATGCCTGTCTTCAAAGCTTGATCAAAATCAAAACCCCAGAACCCCCCTGACTGCATCCCTGATAATGAAATACATCTTTAAAGTTGTCATATAATACCTGTTTTCAGAGCCTGATCTAAGTCAAAACCCCTGAACCTCCCTGACTGCATCCTTGATAGACAGATACATTTTTTCAATTGTCGTAAAATAATACCTGTTTCCAGAGTCTTATCAAAGCCAGCCATGCTTGCAGAGACCTGGTGGATGAAGCTAAAACTTTTCACCTCAGACCAGACCTCAGGAGTCAACTGCATGGGTCACGTACAAAACCCAGAACAGGTAGACAGAAAACATGTACAACTGGGTGACATGGAGAATAATAGTAATAATAATAATATATGTCTAAAGAGTGACTAAACAGTGACTTCCTTCATCGATTTGGACAAAAAAAAAAACGATGCATTTTCAGACATTGTGGACATGTTAACATAATAAAAATAGTGATTTATATTTTGAAGTCACACAGCAAGGATACACTTGTACGGTAACTCAGTGCTACTTTCAAAGAAAGTAACATTAAAGGACAAAGTTGGGTGATGATAGGAATAGCATTTCTTAAAATAAAAATTCTTTTTAAATGTGTTAAATATTGTTGGTGTTTGCTTGCAAGTCAAGGGAAGATGCAGACACATCGAAAAAATCTAATAAAAAGTCTAATAAAAGAATAGAATACTGATACCACTTATTGTTGTGCTGGTTCATATCACCTCGATGTTTTAAAGTCTAAAAATTCTATGGGAGACTGTTTCATAATTTCAGGCTCTGTAGAGGTACTAGTGGTGGTTGGAGGCTTTGGTGCCATGCAAAACCCAGTAGATTCTGCTGAGATGTTTGATCCCAAGAGTAATGAATGGGAGTCACTGCCTGTAAGTTGTGACAAGTAAATGTTTTATCCTGTTAAAGAGGTGGTTCCAAAGAATGCTAGCGTACCACAAAAGCCAGGGATTCTGTCACAGCTAAACTTATGAAAAGAATTCTGCATTTTTGTTAGTTTTGTTTAAATGATATTGATATTTTAACTTTTCTTGGACAAAAGTAGATACTCAACAGGGTACCCATTGCCTTTATATTTTCCATCTTAATTGGTTGGAAATTACTCCAAAGAATATGAAAGATTAAGTGATATTCATGCATATAGATGCCATACTAGTTTGTAACACAGTGGTTGGTAAGTATTAGAAAATTGTTGAGAACTTGACAGATTTGTAAGTTGATTTTTTTTTTCACAATAGAATCCCTTATAGAGTTCTTTTATCCAAATTTGAATGTTATAATTTAAGTGTCTTACAAAGAGGAGACGATATGTCACTGCTGCTGCAGTTGGACCTAGACTTTACGTGATTGGTGGATATGATGGCCAATCACGGCTCAGTTTAGTGGAGTGCTTGGACATCAGTCAAGACAAGCCTGCCTGGCATGCTGTGGCCCCCATGCACCATCGTAGAGGACTGGCTGGAGGATGTGTATATCAAGGTACTAAATGGTTTGTATTCAATAAAGTAGAATTTAGAAGTTGTCCTTGTATTTTCTTTAAGGGACAACAAGTTTGTTTGACTCAACAGTTCAGGGTAAAAAACAGATGTCCTATGTCTTTTGTCAAGCATGGCTCATGCAGTTTACTACATGTATCAGTATCTTTTACAGTCCTGAATATTTTGCACTTTCTAATTTGTTAATACATACTTTTTTAAGTCTTTTTTTTTTTTCAAATGTGATATGGTATTTTTTTCCATTATGCATGATGTTTTTGTAATGGCAGGGAATGAGTATTTGAACCTACATCATTATAGAACTTTTTTCTTATGCATAATATTTTTCGTATTTAGGGTTTGATATCACAAATGGATTCAATCGTCTAGATCGAGTGCCAAAACTTTAACATAAACCCATACTAATATCATTTAGCATTGAGATAACTGACACAATTATCACAATTTCCAGCCAACAGAAGTTGTTGTCAATGTATATCTCTGTTGATACTTCCAGACATGATATTTGTGTGTGGAGGCTTTGATGGCACCAACAGACACACCAGTCTTGAGCGCTATGATCCCCGTATTGACCAATGGACACTGCTGGGCAGTATGTTACTAGGGCGTGAGGGGGCAGGACTTGTAGTGGCCAGTGACCATATATACTGCCTTGGTGGCTATGATGGTGTGAATCTTTTGAATTCTGTGGAAAAGTATGACCCTCGGACTAATCAGTGGGCAAGTGTGGCTCCTCTTGCTACTAGCAGATCAGGTACAGTACAGGTTCTGTTAAGATAGTTCTTTGGTTAATTTTTTGTACTGTTTGGTATTTGAAATAATGTCCTTTGGAATGTAAATCACTGCTGTGCTGCTGGCTATTTGAAATCTCTTGTATTCATTGGAAAAGTGACTTACAAACATATCAGTTGATAATTATGGAGAACTACAGAAGCAAGTCTACTCTCGCAACCTGCAGATTAGGCACTGCTTGTATTGGTTAGATTAAGTAGTATTTCAGTAAAAAGTTAATGCTTTTGTATTTGATATTGTAGATCAATCTTGAATTCATTACAATTTATTTTTTGTTGACTTTTTTCACCTCTAAGCAAAATACTGGGACTGCCTGCTGTTCATACTAATTTCCTGAAAATTAGCAGCAATACAAAATTTTTGCGCAAACTCTTTGCCACAAACATCTTTAATTTTTCTTTGAGCTGTCACTTGCATATTATAGTTTTTTATTATAATGATTAGAAAATTCTCTAATGTTATTATATCAGTGATTTTGTTTATATATTACCTGCCAGACTGAGGATTTATTATATATATATATAATTTATGTATTTGTTTTTTATTAGTTGATCTATAAAGGTGCCACTTAGGCTTAATTCATTTAAGACTGAGACACACTTCTTATTATATTATCTTAAACTAATATTTATTGACCTCTCAGTTGTGTCATAATAACAAAATACCACACTGGTCTCTTAACAGAACTGAATATTTCAGGCGCAGGGGTGGCTGTACTAAATGACACGATATTCGTTTGCGGTGGTTACGATGGGAACACGCATTTGTCTTCAGTAGAGATGTACAACGTGCGTACGTGTCAGTGGTCGTCCATCAGCAGTATGACGTCTCCCAGGTGCTATGTTGGAGCATGTGTGTTACGAGGAAAGTTATATGTTGTTGCAGGGTTAGTATGATAATGTTTTTGCTATTTTGATTTAGTGATTTGATGTCTGAATAATGTTTTAATTTTGGTGTTTTGTTTGCCCTAATGTGTATGAATTTAAATGATGTATGGTAAAGACTCAGTTTTAACAATGGACATAAATTATCAATTTTTAAATAGATCAATTTTAGAATTATATTATAAAAAATATATTTCTGTATAGTGTTTGTAATTTTACTATATATATATATATATATAATGGAACTGTAGAGTACATCTTTTTACTTTTGTTTCTACCGCTCAATAGGCATGTTCTAATTTTATGAATTTATGACTAAAGAAAGAACAGTATCTGAAAAATTAATAATTTTCTTTGTTGAAAAGATTGAGTCATTGCCATACATCATCATATTGAAGATTTCCTTCACCAAACTAGCACATGGCTTAACATGCAGTTCCGGTATGTTGATCTTGAACAGTGGGCACTCACAGAGCCAGATTTTATCTAAACAAATGGCTACATTTTTACATTTGGTTCAGTTAAGTCTGTCTCAAGCCTTAAAATCATGTTAACATCTATTTATTCACTTCAAGAAGCAATAAAGCTGTGTCCAATATGTGTACCGAACATCTCACTCTTTCAGATATGATGGCCACACTCTACTCAAGAACATGGAGTACTATGACCCTATTGCTGACCAGTGGATAGTCACGGAGTCCACCATGGAGGTCAAGAGGTGCGACTCAGGGGTGGCTGTGGTCAAGGGGATATGAGAGAACAACTAGACACTCGATAAAGTGACCACAATTAGGTTAAATGTCTCATAATCATCGTCACCACCTCCCCAGGGAGGAGAGATCGCTAACACAGATTGTAATGATCAGGTGTCTAACTATTTGTTTTGTATGTAATGCACATAATTGTAAAGTCTACTAAACATATATATATATATGAAGTTCAGATTAAAAATATATATAATATATTATAAAGTCAAGAAACAGGTTTCTAGAGATATTGACTGGGACTAGTTAACATGACCAGTCAGTCTGTGATGCCAAATACTGGTCAGAAACAATGCCAGCTTAGTAACAAATTAGGATTTTCAAAGTTACTAGACTAAGTCTTATCCCACTAGTTTCAGCAATTAAATATTTTTCCATTATCAAATTGAATATTATTCATCTTTGGACTTGTTATTCTTGGTTTAAAGTAGTAGTTTTCTGAGGCTTACAAGGTACTAGTAAGAGCTACCAGTATGTTGAAAAACTTAATCACAGATTAACCAGACAAGTAATTGGTATTGTGTGGTCAAAGAAGCATATAATTTTAGGTAAAACTCTAAAGGCATTGGTCCCAAATTTTGAATTTTCATTATCAAGTATATATATATATATATATATATATATATATATATATATATATATATATATATAACATGATAAAGTAAATACATAAATATCTGATGAAGCTAAATGTCTAATCTAAATGAATTAAAGGACTTTCAGGCTGAAAAAAGTCCCATCATTAATCTTCCACTGTTTTCATATTGTTCTCTCCTATGCAAGTTGGCCAGGATCCACCTACCAGTAGCTGTCAGGTGTAACCATATAGTGACTCATATATACAGAAAGAAGTGCACAGTGATTTAATAAGCATTATTTTCACCAGCATGGCAGCATTTTGTTTAACTGTTGTATATGTCCCCATGCCCCATAATAAGATAATCACAGGTCCTTTAAAAAAGCTCAATCTCATTCAAACTCACAGCAGCATTTCCAGTTATACTTGGAGTTAGGGACAGTAATATCATTGACAACACAATAATGTCAATATGCTCAGTGTTAAGGATTGTTGAGTGGCCTGCATGTTGACTGTTCATTCTGTGTTGAGAGGCAAGAATGTTGATTTATTATGTTAATTTAGGCATACTCTAGGTTCATTTAGAGATAGCATCGGTTCCCAAACATCATGTTGCATTCAAACAATCTAAGTCATAGAGTTTCATAAGAAACAGTTTTGTGTCTGCCCATGGGGCAGCTAGACTAACATTTGTTATGTTTTAGAATAGCTTTGTATTTCATCAGATTAATAATAAAGTGATGAAGAGTCACCATTTTTTTTTCTTTTTGTCAAGATGGGCTGTTTTATCATTTCATTTTAACTTTAATATTACCACTTGATATATATGTATATTTTTACTTTTTGTTGGATACAAGAGCTCCTTACTAACTGTCAGAGAGTCAGAGTATTTAAGATGAAATTGCCTGAATATTTTTTACCTCAAAATAAATTCCAAAATGCAGTTTCATCACACCTGAACATGGACATTGCCATAAAAAAGCTGGTCTTTTTAAATACTTGGCTTTTTATAGCTTTTTATATGTAACAGTTTGATTACAGTTCTGTAATAAAAAGCAGTGTCTAGCCCACGAGAAGTAAAGAGAGAGAGTCTTTAATTTTCATCAAATACAGATTTCATAAGTTTACTATATAAAACATTAAATTAAACATTAAATTAATAGAAATAACTAAATAATTAGGGTTAAGTAAAATAATATATACCTTAATAGTAAATAAAAGATTAAAAAAAAAAAACAATTTTACCTGTAATAAAAAGCAATGTCTAGCCCACGAGAAGTAAAGAGAGAAGGTGAAGAAAACAGACAAAGGAAATTAGCGGGTCAAGACTCTAAACCAATGAAAAGCAAGAACGTATAAAGACAGAAAAACAAGGAATAGTAAAGAAAGCAGGGAAGACTGAAAATAAGGTATGGAAACATAAAAACGGAATAGACTGAAAAAATGATAATTAACAAAATGAGCATTCAGGTACTACTGCTACATATAGTTGGCAAGTCTTTTTCCAAAGTAGTAAGCATTTTAATTTTGGCTCTTCTGGTCATGGGATATGTGTCTGACAAGGCTATTGGTCTCTACACCTCTTGGTCTCTCGGTATTTATACATGCGTATTTGTCTTTTTTTTCTCTTTTACTAAACAGAATACTAGTGTGAATTTCAGACCTGTTCAGAAGCATTTTGGAGAAAGATTTTTCTTTGATAACTGTAAAGGGAGCATCTCGTGTTTAGGGTGGTTGGTTCAGTTTCTTAGGGTAGAAACAAATGCATTTTTCTAAGTAACATGACAGGTTTGAATCTCAGACATTGGGACGTAACACATTACCTGTTTATTTAAATTATATTGAAAGGATAAAAAGAAAATATAAAAATGAAATAAAAACTGAAGATGTATTTGATCAATTATTTTTCGTTCATTTTAGTGTACAATCAACATAATGCTGTTGAAATAAAAATGATATGATTATTCCAAAAACATTCTAATTATTATTAAAATTGTTCAACAGTCATAGATTATTTTATAGGAAAGTAGAAATTTCAAAGTTTTATAAAAATACCAATGTATTCTAAACTGGCTTACAATTTAGGGTAATTCAAAAGTTTTAAAAGTTGGAGATTCTTTTCTGAGTTTCAACAAGGTTGAACAAAAGCACAACTAACCTGGCCGATACCAGGGGAGAATCCAGGATTTTTCAAAGGGGGGAGTCCGCAGATGCACCTTGGGATGCGGGGTCCAGTGAACGGCCCCAAAAATTTAGGTATTTAAGAGGGCGAATGTTGCCATTTGATAAGGTTTAGAACTATGTTCCAGCTAGTCAAAATTCTAATTTCAAAAATCAAAAGGGGTTAACCCCCTTGATCCCCCCAAAACTCGCTGATGGCCGATACAATAAAGCCATATCTTGTTGAGAAACTTAAGCTGTTAAGAAAACTAAATCAGATTTCATCAAATGTATTTTTGACCCAAACTAACATTTATTAAGTTTATGAATCCAAATGTGATAACCAAGATGACAAAAATAACATTAAAAACTGAAAAGGGTAAATAAAGCCAGTCAAAATAAAACCAGTTTTATGATTTAAGGACCTAGTTTAGGCATATAAACCTACTGGTAGTTTGAGAAGTAAAGCGACCAGTGAGAGAGGGCCATGAAACTTAATATGCCATTCCGTGCTAAAACATAACCATTTGAATACAATACTGCTCTTTCCCGTTGCCAATGCTCACAATCCATCGTCTATCACTTAAAATTAAACGTTTTAATGTATAAAATATAACATGTATAAAACCATAGACTTCAGTCGAGCAATCATCTGTGTGTAATATTCATGAACCCAAATATTATGTTACAGTATAATCAAAATAGAAATATCAAGACTTCTTCTAGAACAGTCACATTGGAAGCCCTCTNTTCACCGTCGTTCATTCCCTCCAGCATGGCCGCGGGACTAGTGTTACGGAGCAAATATGACGTCACTGTAATGGGTTAATACTGCTCTTTTCCGTTGCCAATGCTCCCAATCCATCGTCTATAGAAACGTTTTATTGTATGAAATATAACATGTATAAAACCATAGACTTCAGTCGAGCAATCATCTGTGTGTAATATTCATGAACCCAAATATTATGTTACAGTATAATCAAAATAGAAATATCAAGACTTCTTCTAGAACAGTCACATTGGAAGCCCTCTCCCCCGCACCCGCACCCGATACGTCCAAATTGTACAAACAAGCCACCCTCCAAACTCAGCGTGTGTATGAGTGTGAAAGCTATTTGAAAGTAGGTTATAAGTTTACGGATATAGGGGAGATAGGTTTGTCCTTTTGCGTTTTTTTATTCTGCCAATTTTGAGAAGAAATATCAGTATCTTTCATTGTACTTAGTAAAAATAAATTATAATACGTCGATTTTTTCCCTTTATTACATAATTCGTCAGATGTTATTCAGTACAAAATTTCCCTAGAAAACCTTTACCCCCTATTGTGAATGCAATGTGTCGTCTGCAGAGCATCAGTGCCTGCCACCACGTTGGATACTCCGCGCTTCCCGGGAGCTGAACAGTTTTAAAACATGGTCTGAATTGTTTTAGGGAGAGTCAGATGAAATAAAGAGGGACCTTGGCGTTTATAAAGTTCTACATGGTGAAACTGGAAATGTGAGCTAATATTACTCTTTTCCATAAAAAGTTTGCAACGAACTCTGCCTTTCAGTGACCCCATGCAACCAAAATGTTTTGCTTGCATCTTGGTACATGTCCCACTTCTGTCTGCCCCTAAAATGGTCCATACTAAAAAATCAATAATCGTATGACAATTTTATACAGGCAATTGACCTACTTTTATACACAAGGTTCTATCATCGGGTATTATGGCTTTAAAGTGAAACGTTATACACGTCTGTGATACAAACAACGTGCCCCTATATGACGACCTGCGAACAATATTATATAAAAAAAGGTATTTGCAAAACACTATACACACTTTAGCCTTTAAAACAACCGATGAAAAATTTACTATCATTATGAAATCTCAAGAAGAAGAAACCCCTACCGCACTAGCTCAGTTTCTCTCCTCCGCTTTTGCTAGGAGTGATCTAGAGGACTGCTCCACTCATCGGCAATTAGTAATTGAGTAGTAGTAATAGAAACTTGAGTTAATTTTTTAGAAAGTAAAAAGTCTTACTTATTGTGATTGTTTAATAGCCTTTCACTAAAATAATATTTGTGTTGTCAATTTTATCCACCCAGGTGGATGCATATGTTACAGTGAAATTAACTTTAAACTATAAAAGTTATTTCTAATTACATAATTTATAAACAGTGCGTGGTTCAAGTGTCTCGATTTGTGAGCATAACGGAACATTACATTAATTTTGAAAACAATGAAAAAATAAGAGGCAAGCCAAAATCAGAGAAAATCCATTTTTCTCTTATATGCAAATTAAGCCCACCATTAGTAAGTAATATGTGGCTGGCTTGAAGTGATGTTCATATCAGAGATTTGTAAAGGTGATGATCTTGATGGCCTTCATGATCTTTATGGTGATATAAAAAATCTTATCTAAGTTTTCCGTTGTCATCTGGTGAGAAAGAAACTTTCTGTACCAACACAATCATTTCACAAGTGAAGAATAGATAGCAAACGCGCTTCAGAGATGCCCTGCAGACGACACGACTTTTGCAGGGGCGGATCCAGGATTATTTGAAGGCGGGTGGGGATGGGGGGGTAACGGATGCGAAGAGAGTATTTCGTATTTAAGAGAGCGAACGGTGTCATTTGGTACGGTTTAGAAATACCGTTTGATCCAGTTAGTCAAAGTTCTAATTTCAAAAGGGGCCATTTTTTTCAGAAATCGAAAGGGAGTGGAGTCAGCCCCCCCCCCTAAATCCGCCACTCTAATGCTCCTAGAATGTGGATCCTACTATAGTACCAGACATTGAACGAGCAGGTATGGAAAACAATTTTGACCAAGCTCCATTCAGTGTACCGTCATACAAAAAGATTAATAAGGCT